TGAGAAGAGCTTCTCAATATTAATTTTGCGGACAAGCTTCCAACAAAATCTATCAAAACCTCCCAAGATATTCTAACACACCCAACTTTAGAACCTTCGAAGTTTGTGGACAGAGCAATGTGCCAAACTGATACATTCTTGGCTGCCCTACATTAGAGAAGTGGTTTCAATCATAGGAAAACACAATGAAGCAGCGCTGGAGTCTCTGTGGTCTCGTTTTGTAACCCCAGCCTCTGCATCATGCGACCCACACAGCTTATCCCTGTGGTCTCGTTGATGGTCTCATCTGTCAGCTGCTCACCTTGTTGCTGCTTCATTTCTTTTTTAACAGTTGTACTACTGTTGATCTTCATGGCAATTCGTCTTTGTTATGCACATCTTCTCAATGTAGCTCTTTCTTGTAGCAAATATTTATGCTCGGCAGAATCAGTTACCCGTAACTTTCACACTTCGTGCCCGCATGTTCATCATAGTGCTATAAAGCATTGTTCGTCACAGCACTATGAAGCACATCTGGATGCACCTCTCATCAGTCTACAGTACCTTCTTGTGCCTTCAATGATGCTGGGAAGACCTGAACAACAGATATGGTAAAAATCAGAAAAAAAACAGAGTATGCACAGTTATCCATGCGATAGCACAATTAAAACCAGATTTCTTTTTTCTGCTAATATGAATAGTTCTATTAGAGATACGACAAGCAAATCAACTCAACGAAGAACGAAGAACAAGCAGGGGACACGAGATATTAACGTGGAAAACCCCTCGAACACGAAGGGGAAAAAACCACAGACGCCAACCAGCCAAACTTCACTACATCGGGGGAGGTTACAAACGCCGGGAATTTACAACCGATCAACTTATCCCATGCAGCGGCTTACAAGAGGTATATATAACACCAGCGACAGGCCTCGCTCCGCTCGCTCGTCAGAAGTTAGCCTTCCTCTTTATACTTGAATTTGGAGCATAACATAACAAACTCCACCTTGAGACAAATTCCATCTTGTAGCATGAATGAGAACCTCCTCCCTGAACAACAAAGAAAATACTTTCGGCGCCAAATAGCCAATAGGGCTAATGAGTTATACCAACTAAGTCTGAGCAAAGCTCAAACTTAGCAACATGAACTTGCTTTGTCAACATATCAGTAGGATTATCATGAGTATTAATCTTGCATACCTTCAGTTTACCTTGCTCAACAGTGTCTCGAACATAATGATATTTGACATCAATGTGCTTTGTTCTCTCATGGAACATCTGATCCTTAGTGAGGTAAATGGCACTCTGACTGTCACAAAATAAGTTAATGCAAGAATTATCTCCACAAAGCTCAGCATACAAACCTTTCAACCAAATTGATTCTTTACATGCTTCTGCAATAGCCATGTATTCTGCTTCAGTGGTAGACTGGGCAACTACTGGCTGCAACATTGCCCTCCAACTCACGGCACAACCACCAACAGTGAACACATAACCTGCAAGGGACCTCCTCTTGTCTAAACCTCTGGAAGCAAAATCTGAATCCACATAGCCAGCTAGTCCCTCACCAGTTCTGTTGAATTTTAAGCAAGCATTGGAAGTGCCATGAAGGTACCTGAAAATCCACTGAATAGCCTTACAATGTTCTTTATCAGGGTTAGCCATGTATCGACTGACCAAACTCATTGCAAATGACAAATCAGGCCTAGAACACACCATGGCATACGTTAAAACGATGAAGAACTTTCTTAATGTAACTCTGCTGACTAAGAAATAACAAACCGGAATTTCTGTCCCTCCTAATCTCCATACCTAGAATTTTCTTAGCAGCACCAAGATCCTTCATCTCAAACTCATTACTTAATTGTGCCTTTAAAGTAATGATCTCTTTCTTAACCTTGGCAGCAATCAACATATCATCAACATATAACAGCAAGTATATAGGTGATCCATCAACAAATTTAATGTAAACACAATTATCATATGCAGACATCTTAAATCCATGTGCTATCATAAATGAATCAAACCTTTTATACCATTGTCTCGGAGACTGTTTCTTCAAACCATATAGGGACCTCTTTAACTTGCAAACAAATTTCTCCTTACCAGGCACAATGAAACCTTCTGATTGGTCCATGTAAATCTCCTCGTCCAGTTCACCATGCAGAAAAGCAGTCTTGAGATCTAATTGCTCAAGCTCAAGATCATGCATAGCAACAATACCAAGCCTACCAGCCTACGCTCCACTTAGGACCAAGCCTACCGGCGACGGGACTCGCTCCGCTCGATCGTCAGAAGTTAGCCTCCCTCTTTATACTTGAATTTGGAGCATAACATAACAGTTCATGTAAGTGTGGCCTATTTTACTCAGTAATCTAAACATATGAGGTGGAAGTTCAGACAGAATAGAGCTCAGAAGGGTGAAGAGGAAAGTAGGCCCCCCTCCCCCCCCCCCCGCGTCGTCTCCGTGAGGCGACTCGGGTGGGCACCCCGTCGGCCGCCGCCACAGCATCTCCACCAGCCACCGCCGCTGGCAAAACGACGTCGGGCGAAGCCCATCGACGGCTGGCGGCAGCGGGATCCGGCCCCCGCGCGTGCTCTGGTCCTGCCGCCCCCTCCCCTCATCCGCATCGGGGCCACTGGATCTGGCCTGGTGCTTCCCTTTGGCTGACTCCCTCCTTCTGATCCGTTCGGCATGCCGCGGCTGCGGGCTTCCGGCGCCCTCGGGTGGCTGCGGTGGCCTGGCCTCGTGGCTGCCTCGGCAGCGGTTCCACCCGTTGTTGTCTGTTGGCTGGGCGCAGCGTCCCTGCTCCCACACTCTTGCGTCGGCCTTCGTCGCCTCCTGCCCTCAAGCTCGCGCTGTCAACCGCCTAGTTCGCGCTATGCATCCTACCTCCCGCAGATCCAACTGTCGCGTCTCCCGCCTCCATCGCCCCCACCCTGTTCGTTGTCGTCATGCTCCTGTGCATGCTTGCCAAACGAAGGTGGCGTCGTGGCTGCTCCTCCTTGGAGCCCTCCATCTCCCAGTTCCCCCAGTGGGATGCCGCTATCTCATAGCCTTTCCTGCTGGGGCATCCCACCTGTGGTCCTCACCGGTGGCTCTCGGCGTTAAGGGTGCCTGCCGACGTCTCTGCCGGTCGGATTCACCTCGATCTGGGGCCGTCTAGTTTCAGCGCTGCTCGCGCTATTGGCGGCTGCTCTGCGTCTCGTCGCGTGGAGGATGTGACCGTGGTTTGGGAGAAATCCATGGTCGGCCGGCTGCTGCTAGCCGAGACAGCGGCGACGCTTCCCGTCGTTCCCATCTTGATGTCGTTGTCTTCATTCCCCAGTCTTGTGATGTTTTCGGCATGCCCTGTGGTGTTCTATGCTTGGTGATGCCCTTCAACTACGCCGGTGGCACACAGGTGCCGTGAAGTCTTCTCGGCCCGGCGTGACCGTTCAAATGTACCCCATGACACAGGTGGTATCACAGCTTAGTGCAGTCTTGGTTACCCGGTGCTTTTTGATTGCATCGACGGTGCAGTGTCATGATTGAATCTCGGCTCGCTACTGCAGTTCAAGCGCCGTGGTGCCCCTTTGTTGTGTTATTTTGGGTGTGCTATGTGGAGTTCTATGCACTAGCAAGTACTGACGCCTAAAGTCCTTTTGGAAAGGGCTTTTGCGGTTGCAGTGATCTACCAAGTAATCCATAGTTCATGGAAATTAGTCTGACTGCTACTCTGATTTTTCTTTTCTAACTAACAAGGTAGAGTTGGAACACAACAACAAAAATGTTACAAGGCAAAGTAGAGTTGGAAATCTTAACATTTATGCATGAGCCAATCCAACAAGAAATGCCGTACAAAGTAACTTCTGCAAAATGTACATATTCACATCACAGTTTGCTACACCATCACTTGTGAAACTGAATAAATCCGATAAGATTCAGCATCACCACATTAGCTACAAATATATTCCATCTTCCTGCTAACTGCAAATCATCTGCACCCATTTCTCCTCTTTGTGGGATAGAGGACTGAATAAACAACTGAGATTTATTATCTCAATTTTCATAAAACAACGCTACAACAAAATAGTAGGTATTGCACTGACACTTGCAGTCCGTAAATCTCATCTATCTTCAGTTATACTCCCTCCGTTCCTAAATATTTGTCTTTTTAAAGATTTCAAATAGACTACCACATACGGATGTATATAGACATATTTTAAAGTGTAGATTCACTCATTTTGCTCCGTATGTAGTCACTTGTTGAAATCTCTAGAAAGACAAATATTTAGGAACGGAGGGAGTAACAGCAAAAAAAAAAATAGTTTGCTTCCAGTCACATCATCCTATAAACTAATTACCCCCAGCCAGCAACAGTTCAAACTTACTAGTATCTTTTCAGGTAGTTCACGAGCCATGATACTCGGTCCTCCTCAGTCATGGCCATATATGCAGAGCCCTGGGCATACTGATGTGAGCTTCCTTTCGCTCACCTAAACCTAGACATTTATAACAAGGTAAAGTTGAACACAACAAAAAAAATTTAAAACACAAAGTACATGGAAATCTAGACATTTATGCATGAGCCAATCCAACAAGAAATGCAGTACAGAGTATCTACTACAAAATGTATATACTCACATCACAGTTTGCCATACCATCACTTGTGAAACGGGATAAATCCAGTAAGATTCAGGATCACCACATTAGCTACAAAATGCAGTATATTCCATTTTTCTGCTAACTGCACATCATCTGCACCCATTTCTCCTCTTTGTTAACGACAGTAAGGGAGTGGGATAGAGAACTGGATAAACAATTGAGATTTATCTTCTCAATTTTCACAAAACGATGCTGCAACAAAACAGTAGGTGTTGCACTGAAACTTGCAGTCTGTAAATCTCGTCTATCTTCACTTATGACAGCAAAAAAACATACAGTATGTTTACAGTCACATAATGCTGCAAAATAATTACCGCCAACCAGCAACAGTTAAAACTTAGTACTCCCTCTGGCTCTAATTAACTGTCCCGACCTATACTTCGTGTGCTTTACCACTTAGCTTGCGGGTCGCGTCAATTAAATGGGGCCGGGGGGAGTAGTATTTTTTCAAGAAGTTAATGAGCCATGATACCCGGTCCTCCTCGCTCATGGCCATATATGCGGAGCCCTGGGCAGTGTTGTCCATCAGCTGAGACAGAGCAACTAACAAATATTCCTCAGCAAAGCCGGGCATGTTCATCACAGCACTATACAGCACATCCGGATCCGCCTCATCCATCACAGTAGTACCATGAATGGGAGCTACTAGAATGGCCTTTGTTGTGTCCTCTTCCTGTGCCATCAATGATCTTGGGACGATCTGAATAACAGAACAGTATAATCAGACAATAGAGCATGTACAGCTGGCCATGGTATAGCACAATTAAAACCATAATTCCGTTCTTCTTAGATGCATAATTAGTTCAGTTGTCACATATCTATAATCCCTCCCCAGACCCCACCTTGTGTGGGAGCTTCTATGCACTGGGTCTGTCCTTTTTTAGTAATCTAGACATATGAGGCATCAAATAGAAATAAAAAAAGACACTTAATTCGACACTTGTCATGATTATGCAGAAAAGTAAAAGCAATACAACAGTTAGCTTGGCGAGCACACATACCCCTCTGATGTGAGCAAGCTTCATCTTGTTCTCCTCTGAGTCTGATTCACACCATTTCACTAGTGTAGGGCAGCCACGGATGGTTAGCTGTTCAAGCTTAGTCAGTTGTTGTATGCTGTCAGGCAAAGACCTGATCCCCTCACAGCGCATGATCTGCAATTCCTTGAGAGAGGCAAGTTTTCCTAACCACTGCGGTAGTGACGTCATGCTTCTGCACACAGACAGCCTTAGGATCTGCAGAGATGTCACCTTGGCCAACCAACTCGGCAATTCTGCCTGGTCGAAGGACAATGATACAAGCGAGGAGAACTGTTGGATGATCTTAGGTGAGGTGGTCAGATCACTGCAACCGGTGATAGTTAAATCACGGAGGGCAGGGAGTTGGTGAAGCAACCTCCACTGATGCAAGGGCACCTTGCTGTTTTTGACAATCAGTTTTGTTATTGGAGAAGAGGAAGCACCACCGTGTGACAAATTCTCTTCCCATGATGATAGCACATTATCAGAATCTATTATCCACAAAACCGTAGCTCTTGGTGCACATGGTTTTATCCTCAGCTTGGCACATTGATCTATGGTCAATGCCCCAAGCTTAGGCTCGCCACTGGTATATGCCGTGTTCCACTCTTCCAAGCTCTCCATGCGGCACAGACCTAGCTCTCGTAGGTATGGTAGTTGACCAAGTGATGGTAGGTTATTGCAGTTAGGAAAATCACAGAAATATAACTGAGAAAGATTAGGGAGATGCTGCCTGATACCCATAAGCCAATTAGGAACGCTGACACTGCTATAACCACTTATATACAATCTCTGCACACTGGTTGGTGGCACTAGTTTTTCCAATACCTCCTTGTCATCCACAGACCTCCCACCCACGACAGTCCATTCAAATCTTAGCTCTATAATTTTTTGTATCTGCACCTGCCTTTGGGTCATTGACATGTGGGCCAGCCACCTGTTGGGCCCACATGTCATAGACACAAAGGCAGGTGCCTTAAGGCATCGAAGCATTGTCCGTTTTATACATCGTGCCTCTTCTGCAGACTTCACATTTTCGAGTCTATATATCGTCAGCACTTCAAGACAAAGCAGGCTGATATTGCTGCTAAATTTATCACTTGAAGCATGCACCACAAGATCAGCAGGAAGCTTCAATCTGGTGCAGTCTAAGAGGTACAATGTATGAAGCTTCATGAGGTTGCCAATACTTTCTGGTATACTGATGGAATAGGCTTTATTCTTAGACAAGTCCAGATGCTCTAGATTAGAAAGAGTACAGACAGAGTCAAGCAATCTGACAATTTCGTTTTCTGATGCCGGCGCCATGGCATTCATGCACCCCGATAGATTTAAATACCTGAGTTTGATTAGATTGCTAATGGCCTTTGACAGCCTTCCGATATGTTCCTTGTTACCTGATAAATTCAGATATTGAAGTTTGGTACAGCCACCCAAAGCTTCTGCTGTAGACACACTGCTGCGTGATAAATCCAGATGAACCAGCTGCTTGAGCTCTGCGAATGATATTGAAATTGAAAGTTCACGTATTTCAACACAACCTGATAAATCAAGATGCGTCATATCACCAATGGCCTCCGGCAGTGCTGAGATTTTATCAGAATCACCAAGGTTCAGGTAATTTAACTGTGAGAGCTCAGTAATACAACTGGGAACCATTTCATATCGGATTCCTGGAGCACGAAGAAATCTCAACTGCTTCAGTTGACCAATACAGTCAGGTAACTTCTTAATTAAGCATTCACTTAAATCCAAAACACGGAGGCACTTAGCTGACGAGAATGCACCATCACAAAGTTCTTGTCCGTAACAGCCCCTAAAGTGCAGCGAATATATATTTGCAGGAAAAGCCACAGACAGCTGCAATGACTTGGTACAATCTGTGAGCAATGCATAGCGGCAATTGTTTCCCTCAGTGTTAAGTTGATGGGCCAAAATCTCTCTTGCGAGATCATGCACTAGGTCATGCATCGTGAAGAATGTAATATATTTGTCTTCTTGTGTATAACCCTGCAGCAAAAAAAATGTGAAATGATGTGTGCCTTCGTTATCCGAGGGAGTTTCAGAGTGCAAATATATATTTGGCACACACTTATTGTGTATTGTATTAGGGTATGACCACTATTACAAATATTTTAAACTATTCATATTTGTTACCCGTAACCGACAAAATTTGGCCAAAATGGAGAAATGATGTGTGCACAAATTTAACTTCGTACAATCCATGAATCTATACTCATTCACGTTTTTTTGTTAGTGAGCATAACACCGTACATTTGTACAACATACACATTTCTTAACTTTCCAATAAAATGTGAAAAAAAATAATTGCAACATGAGCATGTGCACTATAATGCTTCTGCTCCAGGAGTCATCATGAAAACATACAATATGTGAGCTGGAATATCTAAGGTTGAAAGTAAGAGTAAAATTATGTTGTAACTCACCCAAGGTATCTTTGAATATTGAAGGAAGGACATCCCCAAAAGTTGAGTGACATAATTTTCGCAGAGCTGCATAGAATCAAATATCCTAGATTGCTCAACGAATCCAAGAGCAATCCATTGGTGAATTAGATCATACTTGGCTATTGTCTGACCTTTTCGAAAGATTGCACAATAGGAAAAGCACAACTTCAACCAAGCAGACATGTGGCTGTAGCTCAGCTGTAAGGACGCAAGCACTTCATGGCCCACAGAAGTAGAAAGATTCCAAATATGACTGTCTCTCACCGACTCCCATTCATCTGACCTCATGCCGTTCAACATGTATCCAAGTGATTGGGCCGCTAAGGCCACTCCTCCACACTTGGTCGCAATCTCCCTTCCTATATGCTCCAATTGTTCTTGGTCGATTCGGTCTTCAAAGTCAGCTTTTTGTTTTATTATAGTCCAACACTCATTAACGGTCAAAGTCTCCAACTTGTATGGTGCAACTGCAGGACTACAAAATTTCCTTGCTAGACCTCCATCACGTGTAGTTACTATAATCACCTTGCTTCCTAGGCCAAGCCCTAGCATAACCTTCATTTTATCTAACTCTTTTGGGTTCTCCTCCCACAGGTCATCTAAAACAATAAGGATGCTCTTACCATCAAATAGCTCTTTGAGGCGTTTATGAAGCATCTGTTTGGTAGGTATATTGCTGATCTTGTCTGTTAACTGTGTTATTATGGAGTTGCCAATCTTGTTCAAGTTGAATTCCTGGGAAACATATACCCACACCCGAGTGTAGTCTTGAAACTTTGGGTCATTGAATACCAATTGTGCCAAGGTTGTCTTGCCAATGCCTCCAATGCCATATATTGGAAGGATGACCATTTCTTCTGTGATGCTCTCGGATAAAATAGACAATATTTTCTGTTTTTCCTTGGTCCTTCCGATGATTACTTGTTCCACATCTGATGATGTTTCCCTGTCAGCAAGTTGCTGCACAGTACGGTTAGAGTTATCTGTTGGCATCAAATTGCAATGTCTATGTTCATTATTGTTTAGTTCAGCTACCATCATCTCCAACATATTAGACTCGCTCTTGAGACCAATTGTTGGACACGGGAACACATCTGCCATCTGCAACCAGTTTTTATGTGTAAGTACATGGAGAAGACCAATAGAATTATCATGATCATGAACTCACAGTCTCGTAAATTCTCTGGGATGATTAAGCTACATGTGTTTAAGCTAAGTTATTGACTGATCTTTCAGTTAGATTGCTCTTCACAAAACGTGCAAACCGGCCGAGGAAAAAGATGTAATACCAGATGTTGGAATAAAAGTTCAACATATATACTAGAATGGCAAAATCCAACACATTGAAACAACAAACATATGAACACACCACCTTCACTAAGACGATACCGTTACACGAACAAGGCCATAGTCCTGAAAGAGGGTGACGTGATGACATGATTGAAGCGGAAACAATGTGTGTGCCATGATTCTAACGCTAGGTTGATGCTTACAGAGCAGCATCATGCGGCCAGTGCTCTCCACCACCACCTCTTCCCCTCCGGCGGCGCCCCGAAGACACTCATCTCCTCCACTAGCTCGTTTCTCCTCCACCACTCTACTGCACCAGCCACTGAGCAACACCTCTCTGCATCTCCTCTCTCCCACCACTGTCTCCAGAAGCCACTGCTGCAGCCTCCAGCAGCGTCCAGTGAGGGAGCCGCTGTTGGTTTTCTCCCTTGGATCGGGAAAACAAAATGACTGGGAAATGGAGCTGCAAAATCTACAACTGCTAGCTAGTCCATGTCCATGTACACAAACAACTGTTTTCTGCCAATCGGAAATTAGATGCTCTCTTGCTTTCATTGTGTTTGCGTTAAGTACGCAGATCATACCTGTCTCTTGGGAATATGAGTTTCTGTCTTGCTCAGAATATCCAGAACTTCTGCTATATTAGGTCGATTGTTTCTGTCAGGTTCAACAAAACGCATTGCTGTGTCAATGCATATCTGCACTTGATGTGATTCCTCTAATGGGTACTCCGAAGTAGCCTTTATCCTATTCTTCCAATTGCCAAGCACCTATGAAACAGGAATAGAGAGATAATTTGGGATGAAAAATATGGAAGTACGATATACGATACTTGTTCAAAAGTATTCTTGACACACAAATTTCATGGTCAATACATTGTATGCAGGAGAGAAGTTTTTCTGTATATGTACATTCTAAGTCAAAAGGTGTGGCATGTGCTCCGCCTATGTCTTCTAGGCATAGCCGGTCCCAAGCCCGGGTAAAGGAGGAGGGTTGTGATAGGCTTGGCGAGCCAACGTAAAAACTAGCCAGTCCCATAGGTATGAAACCCATTTGAGCGAGAATAGTACTAGGATGGGTGACCTCCTAGGAAGTCCTCGTGAAAGGGTTTCATATCTAAGGGTTGTGATAGGCTTGGCGAGCCAACGTAAAAACTAGCCAGTCTTTTGGGTATGAAACCCATTTGGGCGAGAGTAGTACTAGGATGGGTGACCTCCTGGGAAGTCCTCGTGAAAGGGTTTCATATCTAGCCTACCCCAACTTGTTTGGGATAAAAGGCTTCGTAAGTAAGTAAGTAAGTATGTGCTCTGATATATACCCAAAAAGGCTTTCGCCCCGCTTTATATATAAAGCAAACCACCGAGCCACAACATCCCACAAAGGTTCACGACACACACACACATACATAAAGGTAGCACAAACACGCAGGTTCAAAGGGGGTTCTGCTGAGCGCGCAGCTCAACAAGCCCTAAATAAAACTCAAAAGGTTGAAGCAAAGGCCACCACATGGCTAATCCGGCTGTGTAGGTGCTCTGATATATACACCATATTCTTGTTCAAAGGTGTCACATACCACTTCCCAGATAACTAACCTAGATAGATAATATAAGATGTCTAATTAGGAGAGCAAAGTATTTTTTTTACCATGTACTTGCTCCAAAATGCAGATGGAAACGCTCTTCGCAATCAAAAGGAACTTGAAATAAAAGAGATGTACTATATGTATATGTGCTTATCACCTCTCTCATGAAGCAAGGTTCTACGTGCACATTTCTTTCCATTTTTAGAATCTCCACATATGCATTTTTGGCACTTCACGAGTAGTATACAAAATTAATCATACTCTAGATTTTTCTTCTGGCAAGCAGATTAATTACATGAATAATTTGACTACTGGTTGTTTATGTTGATGACTAACAGTGCCATGTAGGTTCCTTATACATATAGTGGATATCCAATGCTGGTAGTTATTGGACTGGTGGAGCTCACTTTTTTTTCTTTCCGAAATACAAAAGGAAAGAAGCTTGTATATTAGGTTTTAAAAAATTATAGCTCAACTAAGCTATCAACTCCTTACTTGGACGACCATAATGCATAAAGTACAGACATCAAAAATATCCATGTGGTGCTTTGTTATATGAACTAGTGTCAAACTGACCCAAAATGTTTTACCTTTTGCGTAAATTGCCCGACTTCGTCTGTTTCTATATAACCGGAGTAACCTGAAGACCCTTTAATTATCTCTATCATCACAAGACCTAAACTGAAGACATCATTCTTATGGGAGATATAGGCGTCTTTTATGAATTCTGGTGGCATATACGCCCTGCATGATATCAAATGACACGGTCAGCATAAATATTGTTTATTTGATCACAAAAGGGAGAAGACTGGAAAATGAGGAATTCCATGAGGCACTTACTCGGTTCCTACAACTCTGTTTGTGACATGAGTGTGTGATCCACCGAAGAGCCTTGACAAACCAAAATCCGCCAGTTTAGGCGCCATGGAACTGTCTAGTAATATATTGGCAGGCTTCAGGTCAAGATGAAAGATTGGTGGTTCACAGCTGTGAAGGAAATTTAATCCTTCACAAATCCCCTTTATAATCTTGTAACGCGTGCTCCAATCAGGTGCAAAAGATTCTTCTACACAAGTTGATAAAGAGAACATTATACAGAAGAGAATTTAAGAATTTGGTTTTGCTTAAACACAAAAGAACATGAACGTATTGAAGTTAAGTTCCATCATACCACGAAGATGCTTGTCTAGGCTTCCACCCTGCAAGTACTCGAAGCAGAGGACTCTATATACGTGTCGGGTAAAATGATTTGCACCATTGTGTTCAATTAGTTCATTCTGTATTTCATAACAATAACCAAGTAACTGTACAATATTTGGATGCTTAACCTTCAAAAGGTTACCAACTTCATTGATATATTGTCTGTCATCATGTCCTAGCACCGTATCAACATGAAGCAACTTCACAGCAATCTCTCTCCCACTGTAAACTCCCTGCTTGACATAAGCATTGTACACAATTATTTGTTTATAACTGGTTCATTTGATGTTAGTTCTAGTATATTGATTGAAAGAAAAAATGCCAAGTAATAAGGTCTACCTTGTAAACATCTCCATACCCGCCCCTTCCAATCCTTGAGTGCTCTGAGAATCCATTTGTAATCTCACGTAAGATATGTAATGGTATACGCTTTTCTGCAGTCATGTTATATCAGCTAGCTTGGACCTTCTGTAGATATACAAAAGGAAAGTGTAAAAAAAAATATGTATGTTTAAATACAAGAAAAAAAAATCTAACGATGGAAAAGAAGGCAAAATCATTGTGAGAAGAAATAGTTTAACATGGCATGGTCCTTGCATTATCTGACCATCGGTGGCATATGTAATATCAATTAGTGGGGGAACCAACCTGAAACCTCAACCAGGAACCATCGCCATCCAAGTCCTTCCACACCGGCTCCTCCCCTCTCCCCTCCGGCAGGGCTAGGCTAGCCGCCCGCGACGAGCTAGATGAGGGTCTCACAACTGGGGCTGGATAGCAGTAGATCTAGTAGGCTTCCTGCTTAGGGCCTCCTGTATATGGATCTGAACTCCCTGAGCTAGCATGTACAATGCAAAATCCAGTTCTTATCTACTCTTATATTGTACGGGATTGCCATAGAAACTTGCTTCTAAAGAAAATTGCCTTACATATCATGTCTCCTTGGATAAATGTCCTAAATCAAAACGACATGAAACCCAAAGAAGGCAGGCAGCGGCGATTCTGATGTAGCAGCAGCAGCAGATCTATATATCTATCTTCTAGTATGGATTTCCAAAAGCTAATGGAAATTTGGAAGTGCTGTTTCGCCACGACACAAAAGTTGCATTTAGGACTGAGGAGACCAGAAATGAGAGGGGGCATAAAGAAATCGCTAACCTGCTGCGTGAGTGGGGATCGATGGAGCTCTATACAGCAGCAGATGCCCAGCCGCGGCGTCCCCAGCGCCTTGAGACGCGCTTTGCCCTCGCCTTCTTCCCCTTCCCCCCGCGCCCGACGCGGCCTCCACCACAATCACTCTTCCCTCCTCAGCTACTGCCTCTCTACTGCTGCTGGATGGGTGGTTCTTTTCTTTTTCTTTTCCTTTTTCTTCATGATTGATTGACGGGAGGCGTGGGCCAACGTATCGTCACGTCTTCTCCTTGTCTCACAAAGCACATCACGAGTCTGCTTTAAGGGCGTGCTCGCGTTCCTTCTAGCTTCACAAAACTTCACATATATCCAGCTAAACCTGGAAATAGTTTGTAATCCAGATTAAACCCAGCCTAATCCGTACAGGTATAAGTCCAACAGCCAGACCAGTCCAGATCAAATTGCAAATGCTATAATCCAAACTGTCCGTATTTTCAAGCCAAACCGATCCAAACTATTCCCCACATACAGTTTGGACTTGAAGTTTCAAACCAAGGGTGTGCGATTACTACGGTAACAGAGGCGTTGGAAAGGGTGATTAGCTGCTGCTGCATGTTACTCACCACCACAACGTATGTACATAGAACTGGTCGCCGCCGGTGCGCTGCTCCACGAGCGCCCGTTGCCACCACTGCTCGAGGTACGCCGCCTCCTGCGCCGGCGTCGCGCCAAGCCACACGAGGGGAGGGAGGAGGGGGCGGCGTAGCGCTCCGCCGGTGGCTCAGCCTTGGGAGGGGACGGCGGCAGCAAAGAGGACGAGGGCCTCCGCCAGCCTGGCCTGGTATGTAGGCCGCCTCCTGCTCATCCTCCTCGATGGAGGTCTGCATGGCGGCCGCCAACGCCACCTGGTAGGCAGCCTCCTCCTCTTCCGGCTGCACCCGTGGGGGTGGCGGAGGGTTGGTGTGGTGCCCCTGGGGGCCAATAGCTCCTGTGCGATACATTTGAGGTGAATTGGCAAGAGTGCGACGTTGTTCGAGGGAATGGCTGTGGTGCGACAATTTTGAGCAGGTAAATAGCCCATGCACGACATGGCTGTTAAATGTGGTTAAATTGGTCGTCAACCAAGCCCGCCCGTTTATGTTAGGACATGTGGGTCCAACTTAATTGTTCGTCAAAACAGCTGACTGTGCCCTGCCGCCCGACCGTGCCAGGCCCGCCACTCTGCCCCCTTCTTCTCCGGTGGCGGCGGATCTTGCGTTCTCGGTGGCGACGGCGGAGCCCTCGTTCTCAACGGCGGCGGAGCCTTCGTCCTCAGAAAATGGTGAGTGAATTCAAACCCTAGTCGCCCTCCCGTTCCTCTCTCGAACCCGTAGATCTCAGCTCGTTTCCTCTGTTTTCGCTTGCGGAATCGATAGGTTGTGAGGGGAGCCCGTGGGCATACTGAGATGGAGCCGCCAGATTCAACTTCCAATAGGTAATGCGCCTCTCCCCGATCCAATTTTGCATGCAATTAGGGGGTGGCCTCGTCTGCTTTTTCCCCTTTTTCTCACGGGCTTACACTGTCCGCCACTGACAGAGGGGATGCTGCCGCTTGGACCTTCGAATTGACAGTTAATTTCTTTCCATCAAAGGCAAAATTAGTTGATGATAGCATACAGAACATTGAGAGAGACACAATTGTTAAATGGGAGGTTGAGTTTACAGAGATTGATCCACAAGTTCTACAGAACATGGGAGAGACGGCAGTGAAGAAATGGATGGAAAAAATTGGGGAGAATGTTGCTTGGGGTCCAGAGCAAGAAGTATCACTGTTGAGGTTTGATGATTGGAAAGGAGAGTATGTGAGAATAGAAGACGGTGAACAGATTGTTGACGAAATCGATCGGCAAAACGGCTGGACAAGCAAACGGACTAATTCTTTTGCTGAGCTCGTTGATCTGAACATTTTTTCGAAGGTTGGATATGTGCCATCACAATTGGCTGCGGAGATGGTAGATGATGATTGGGCTACACAGAGGCCATTGATTCCCATGTGTACTGAACTTACAGTAATAGCCGAAGAGGGACAGGTGACTGGAACTGGAACTGAAACTGCAGCAACTGTTGATTGGAATGTAGTTGAATTAGATGAGCCTACTGATTTGGTCATTGCACCAATGCCTGACATTGAGATGGCCAAACTTTTTGGCATTCCAGTCGATGACAGAGATAAGCAGGAGAGGGGTGAATCTAGTTTGCCTGCTAATGCTGATGAAGAAGTAGATGGACAGTTGATGGAACAAGCTGCAGATGAAGTAGATGATGCACATGATGATGAGCTGGTGCATGTGTATGACAAAGAAAACCCTGTCATTGAAGTAGGCAAGTTGTTCCCAAGCATGAAGGAGTTTAGGATGTGTTTCAAGACTTATGCAGTGAAACATGAGTTTGATGCCAAGACTGTTTGGACTGATAGAAAGAAGTTTTATGTGAGGTGCAGAGGATTTGATGGTAGTGTGAAGCCTTGCAAGTGGTACATATCTGCTAGACTGCAACCTGATGGAAGTACTGTCAGGGTTAACCAAATCCCCAATCAACATACTTGTATTACAAGTTCACAGAGAGTATCAACCATGACATCACAACTTTGGGTTGCAGAAAAGATCACCCAAATTTTATCCAAAACACCAAACACTACTGCGAAGAAACTCAAAGTAGACTTGGAAAAGATGTACCCCATTAAACTGAAATATACCACGGTGTGGAAGGCAAAACAAAGGGCAATGAAAAATTTATATGGTGATTGGGCAAATACATTTAGGATGCTTTACAACTTCAAAGCAGAGGTGGAAAAGAGGTCACCTGGCAGTGTTGTGGAGATAGATACAGAGGTATCAGCCAAAGGTGAAGTCAAGTTCTCCAAGTTTTTTTATGGCTTTGAAGCCTTGCATTGATGGGTTCAAAGCAGGGTGTCGTCCATATTTGAGCATAGACTCATCATTTTTGATAGGCAAGTGGAATGGTCAGTTGGCAGCAAGCAATGCTCTAGATGGACACAACTGGATGTTTCCTATTGCTGTTGGCTTGTTTCAGTCAGAAACAGAGGCTTCATGGACATGGTTCATGATCCAGTTGAAAAGATGCCTAGGGCCAGTGTCACCTTTGGCTATACACACAGATGCATGTAAGGGGCTTGAAAATTCAGTGAAAAATGTTTTCCCACATGCTGAGCAGAGGGAGTGCTTAGGTCATTTGTGGATGAATTTGATCAAAAAAATTAGAGGAGAAGAATTTGGGCGCATGTGACCAGCAGCAAGATCTTACACTAGACAGACACACAAATATCATCTTGATAAGATAATGGCAGCATGTGATGAGTTTGGTCCATGGCTGAACACCTACCATTCTTTGTTATGGTACAGGTCAGCATTCAACACTGCCATCAAGTGTGACCACATCAACAATAATTTGGCAGAGAGTTTCAACAACAAGGTGAAGGAGTTAAAAGATTTGCCTGTGCATGACATGGTTGACCAAATCAGGATCATGCTCATGCGGTTGTGGGAATTGAGAAGAAGGATAGGTGATTGTCTGCAAGGTGATAAGCTTCCAGCAGTGGTACAACAGGTGGTCAATAGGAGCAGATGTCTTTCACATTTGTTTGTTGAAAAATCTTCACCTTGGGGTGCTGAAGTTAGAGATAACAAAACTGGAAGGAGACATGTTGTTAACATTGAATTGCATGATTGCACTTGCCTCGAGTGGCAACACACTGGTAAACCATGTGAGCATGCCATTCTCTTCTTAGCATCCCAACCGAAGATAAACATGCACCCATATTTGCATGAATATTATTCGGTAGCAAGATTCAAAGCTACATATGCTACTCCAATTCCAGCACTTACAGATCAGTCTCAGTGGCCTGAAGTGGACATTGAATTTTCCATGTGTCCTTCCTTGACAAAAAGAAAGGATGGCAGGCCTAAAAAGAGTAGATTCAAGGCATGGTTTGAGAAAGATGGGAGTAGTAAGAAGGGAAACAAAGATGGAAAGCCAAAAAGGGCCCAAAAAGGTAACAAAAACAGATGCAAGTTGTGCCAGGAACTTGGGCACGGAGTGGGATCTGTCAAATGCCGTTACACTCCTGATAAGCCAAAGTATGTTCTTGTTTATTTGTCTGTGTTTTGATTTGGTGCTTTTTTCCAATTACTATATCTATAACATTTTCTCAATGGCCAGGAGGAAGCGAGCAAGTCAGCCGCTTGTTGCTGAACAGTGTTGGCCAACAAAAAAAGCAAGAGTCAATGGCGGTAGAAAGAAGAGAAGTGTGCCTC